GTGTTTCTATTTTTATTTCCTGACTCAGAGTGATATTTCTGATATTAATCCTGAAACAATGTGCCACAATTAAGTTCTATGCAGGTGTATATAAAATAAGGCATGTGGTAACTAATCTGTCAAGCCTGGTCAGCTGGATATGGTTTATTCCCACTATTCTATATAAAACTTTTTTTTTCTATTCGTCTTGTATTCTTGCTGGTTTGTCAGGTGTTTAAATTCTTTGCAGCTGGTTTTTACTGCTTTTATTTAGTGGCATCTATTCATTTCTTATATTTTTACAATCTTAGTCTTAATAATTTTTTAATTACTTTCTTTTAAGCCAAAATTTTCTTGAACGTAATTTTTATTTATTTTAATACTACCAGTCCATCCTTTTGATCTATGATTAAATGGGCTTCCTGTTTTTCTCTGTATGGGTTAATGGTGAGGAGGGAGGGAGGGGGAGGAGGAACATACAAAAAGTTATCTTGATTATGGATACATGCTTTGTTACTCATGGGCTTTGACCTGATGTGCATATATGTTCCAAGTCATAAATAAAATCCAAGACTCTGTTGTGCAGCATAATCTCTGTGAAAAGTCATTTTTCAAAAGGTATTGCTCAACTAATACATGAGAGTTTTATAAATTAATCCCAGTAACCTATATCCATATTCATTATAGAGGATTTATTTTATTATTTTATTTTATTAAATTTATATGCTGCCCATCTCACTATCCGTAGATACTAAGAATGACAAGGGAATATGATGTTGCTTTTATGCTACCATTTGATCATACTAGTCCCATTCAGATCTTCATTTCCTATAATAGTAATATCCCAACCTAGGTGTCAATGGCTGGCCATTGTAATGTCAAAACAATGGCACCTGTGTCACAATGTATTTGGGCAAATGAGATGATTATGTAATAATTCATGGCATCTGATGCAATACCACAGTTGCATCATTAGGATGATGAGAAGACTCATTTACTTCCCCCTTCGCTTCCCTGTAGAGAGTTGCCTATCAGCTCTGATACAAATAGTTTATCTATCTTGGTAGCTTTCAAGTAATGTTAAATATTTTGTTGAAATTTTTAAAATTATGATTAGTTTTGACACATTCTGACAATGCTTATTACAAACCAGGGCAATTCTAAGAATCAGAACATCTATTAGTCATATAGCAGAGCAAGGTAAGATAAAGGTAAAGGTTTCTCCTGTCGAGTCATATTGGACTCTAGGGTGCAGTGATCAACTCTGTTTCTTAGCCAATGGAGACAGCGCTGTCTGAAGATATTTTCCATGGTCATGTGACTAGCATGACTATATGGCGAGGAGCACGGAATGCTGGTACCTTTCACCGAAGTGGTAGCCATTTATCTACTTGCATTTGTGGTTTTTTTGAACTGCTAAGTAGGCATGAGTTGGAGCAAGTAATGGGGAGTTCAATTCGTTGAGCAATACTTGATTCTCAAACATGAGGTGTCAGTTTTCCAGCTGATAAGCTCAGCGTCTTTAACCACTGAGCCATTGTGCCACTTATATAACAATTATGAAAAATTTCAAAGGATTTCAGGAGTTTGATTTTTATCTTCAACATGTTAATATTAATTTGTTAATCAATATTTATCCCATACAACAATAAGGAAACAGAATTCTTGTGTGTTTCCTCACATGCAAGTAGCCTAAATGGTTCAAATGCTTTGTTTTGACTGGACTATTTTCTATTTATTCTACAACTCAAAAAAAGTTGAAAAAGATAGCAGTTGAGAAATAGATTTTTCTATTAAAAGATTTTTTAAAAGAAAACATGAAAAAATAAATCTAAGTGATTTTTTTTAAAAATTACAGGAAGTCCTTGGTTGTTGAGTGATTAACTATGTGCCTACTGAAAATTTCAGTTTCTAATAAAATGAACTAATTGAAAAAATTCAAAATAATTTTCAAATTTGGCATCCTTCATGTTTGTGTTGTATAATTCATTTGATTAGAGGTTTTTTTATAATTATAGAGAAGTGAAGAAAAAATGTTTCCCTATACAAAAAATAAGCAACTGAAATAAAGAGATTAAAACAAAAGCAGCCTTTTTGGCAAAACAAGCATTTTAACTTCTGTTATTATGCCAAGCAGTAATGAAAAATATTGGTTGCCATTATTCTTTTTTTAAATCATGAGTGGAAGAGAATCGTGATTTTATGTTGTAGTTTTTTTCTGATCCTTTGTAATTATTACTTCTGAATCTGCATGGACTAATATAAAATCTAGTAATGTTTCTTTGACAATATTAATGAAAATAGCATATGATTTTCAAAGTTACATTGTTAGCCTATCATAAAATATATTTAAATCAAATTAAAGTTGAGCTATGTCTCTATATGGATTAATTTAAATAAATTAATTAATACATTGCTGCAAATAGATTAAAAAGAGAATATTGGAAAATGTTGGAATTATGAATATTCTTATATTCTGTTTACTATTATTTCAAGAATGAGATTTTTTTAAAAAACTTGAATTTTTACCTGGTTCTCTGATTCCCTAAAAAGAATACATTTTTAATCCACTTATGCTTTTGCCAGTGAAGATAACTGATTGTTTAATCAATCCTGTTTTGAAACTTATTAAATATTCTAAATGCAACAAGTTTTTGTGATCAGCACCACATAGAAGACTCCTATAAAAAACTTCAGCTGATGTAAATTTAGTTGTAAGCCATTTTATGTACTATTTATTACATATGATACTAAGCAATACTGAATAAAAAATGGCAAAATGTTTTCATTCAATGTTATGGCACTGTTGAGTCCAATTTCTAGTTTACGAAGTATACATATAATGAATCTTATATGTGTAATTTTTGTTTCCTTAGAAGCTGTCATGTCATGTCAAATGTTTATTACAGTCAAAGACCAGTACAAGTAAAAATACTCAATGGGTATCTAGTTAAAAATTATAAAATAAAATAACAAATAATAAATAAAATCTATGTTAAAACCCTAATTTAGCATCTTGTCTGTCAGTTGCACATAAACAACACAGCCTACGCTGTGAATTAGTCTTTAAATTGTGAAGGCCTACAGTCATTATCGTTAGACACTAAAATGCAACAACGTGATAATACCAAAAGACTTGGTACATTAATTGTGTAAAATAACTACAATGGATTATTCATCAGGTTCCGACAAACTTTTAATGCTGCTGTGCAGAATCTAGCTACCTGTGCTGTGACTACAATCCATCCATCTTTAAACAGCCATTGAAGATAAACGGTGTCTGAACGGACAGGATACCTATTAATCAGGAAGATAAATTTTGTTTGAATGTCTCTATAAAAACAACAGCAAGGCAGGATATGCCCAGAGTTTTCCACCTCTCCAGAATCACAGGAGCAGACCCCTTCAACCAGGATGGCCGATGGAAGCACAGGACATTGTGCAACTGAGAAGGCTTTCCAATAACTCACTATCTCTAAATGGCTATGATAACTGGCAGGGGTGACAGTATATTTGATGGAATCTGGAAGCAGAACTCAAAAGTCTGCATGCCTATGTCCTCTACCTTTGGGTTTGTTTTGCCTTAAGATTTCGAGTATTGAGGATGGAGAAAAGCCTGATTTAACAAAGCTGAACTCAACAGCCTTGATCAGTGAAGATAATTTTTTAAGCCAGCATATTTTGAAATATCAGTAAATATACTGATCATCATCATCATCATTTTAGCCATAGTTTATCCACTGCTGGATAAAGGCCTTTTCCGCATATTTATTCCAAAATAAGCTGGCTTACAAAAAAAATTCTCCTTATCAATACTAGTGTAATATTTTGGACTAGTTGGACATTTCAGAAAAGAAAAGAAGAAAGATAACATCTTCATTTGCCTCAAGTACATGGAATTTTATTGCCTATAGGTAAGAAATTCTATAGCTAGAGAAAACTGTCTATCATTCGTAGATGGTTAACAAGTAAATAATTCTATTCTCTCCCTTTCTCTATGTAAGTGTTTTGTACTGATAAAAAGGAACATGTTTACTGGAAAATTAGCCTGAATATGTGTCAAGTATTTCACTCCAAGTAAAAAATTTAATTAAAAATTGCCAGCAGAGGTTAATAGGAAAGCTGTCAAGATATTTCATAGAATTAAAATACATTGTTAAAAAACATTTATTTCATTGAACCTTGAATTGCAAAAATCTTATTTCTCCCCCTAACACATGTGCATTTTGTATTATCCAAGCTTATCAGCTTAACTACCATTAGCAGGAATTGTATTTCAAGGATAAAAGGAATAGTTGTCTTCAAAGTTCTTAACTTGTTAAAAAAAGCAAAGGATTATAAAATTATTTCTTAAATTGACAACTCCGTTTGTGTAAATGGGAAACTGGATCTCACATGCTCAAAACTGAATGCAAGTACTGTATGATTTTTCATATTCCTTTATTGCCATAGTTAATGGAAGAATTAAATGGAATCACACTAAATGCTCACTAGACATAAAAGCCTGTATTATTTGGAAATTCAATGATGCAAATTTTATTTCTCAGAATCAAGTTTTTGAACTCATAGAACATAGCATGAGTCCATTTCAAGCAGTAGTGTGACACTTAAATTGTTTGGTAAAATGAGTAAAATAAAATGAGAATTTTCTTCCTGCCTCTTGGTACTTCCTTATTGACTAAAAAAACACCCAGGCTTTGTTATGCAAAAATCAGGCCTTTCTCAAATGTGTTTTACTTTATTGTCAAGTAATTAGACCCTTAATATCTATTTGAATCTCCTTGAATGTTAACAAAACTAATTTAACCAGATTAAAACTCAAAAATTAGAATTTAGGAAAGAAAAATTTATAAAATTAGAAATTCTTTTGAGTTGAAAGAAGGAAGGAAGGAGAGAGAGGGAGGGAGGGAGGGAGGGAGGAAGGAAGGAAGGAAGGAAGGAAGGAAGGAAGGAAGGAAGGAAGGAAGGAAGGAAGGAAAGCTGTTTCACATATTTATTTCTAAGAGAATGTTTTCCTTCACCTTTGAAGCCTTCGGTATATACCTCAGGAAGAAACTTCGTGCTGATGTCTCCCTGGATAAAGCGTGGATGCTTTATTACTTCACGTAGCAATGCTATATTATGAGTAACACCTGAAAATAAAACATTGATTCTCATTAGATTAGCAGCCAGAGAACATATGCTTAATGATATTTGAATTGACAAGTCAAAGCATCCTCCCCAAAAAAGCACTAGATGAGAAATCCCTGAATAAATAAATTTTAATGTCAATAATTTTTACTATTTAATAGAACAAATTTAGTGTAGTGGATAAGACATCAGGCTAGAAACCAGGAAACTGAGTTTGGTACATCAAAATTGGGAGATCTTGGGCCAGTCACTCTCACTTCTAAGTAGGAGACTATGGCAAACCGCTTCTGAAAAACCTTGACAAGAAATCTTCAGGAACTTCTTCAGGCAATTGTCAGGAGTCAAATCTAACTTGAACCCCCCACCCCCCCACCCCCCCGCCAAATTGTGAAACACAGAAATCAACCAAGAATAATCCAAATATTTGGGCAAAGCAATTGGCTTCACATTTTTTCAACAGAAATATTAATATAAAAATGGATATTCCATTTTTTGTGGAAAAATAGCCCTGTACATGGATTTACTTCATGCACTAATAATCTTTATCATCCTTTGTAACAGAAGATCTACATTAAAAAAAAAAATCCAGGTGTCAAGATTTGAATGGAAATACAAGTTCCATAGTGCAAACAGGCAACAGAGTTGCAAATACTGAAAATTCAAAGCTGAAATGGAGGCAGGCAAGATGTTACTTCACATTTTTTTTAAAAAGGGGTTCAATATGAAAAATGTGAGTGCCTGCAATGGATACCTTCTCTATCCGTGAAGGATTATCATCTAATTGAGGACTCTGGAGAATCAGAAGTGGACAGTCAGTCTCCATAAATAAAGGTTTATTGAAGAGGTAATTCACACATAAGAAGATGGGGGGAGGGGGGAATAGGAAACTAGCTTCTTATTCCCAGGCAAGTAAATTTAGGACTTCTAATCGTGTTTAAAGTCTTAAATATGCTTACCTGGGAATAAGCGCTAATCTACCTAATCATAATTACTACAGATAATTCCAATAAGGTAAACTAGTGTTCCTTATTCTTACAGCCCATAATAAAGTGTATTATTAGTTCATTTTCTTCTTGCACAAAAGAAGAAAAACCAAAATTGGCACTCCAAATTTCCATTTCATAATTCCCATTTCAATTTATTTGGAATAAACTGGAATAAATTATTCCATTCTCAACATAGTAGGATGTGGTGGCACCGTAGTTAGAATCAAGTATTACAGACTAATTCTGCTGACTGCCAATTGCCAGCAGTTCGGTAATTCAAATCGCACTGGCTCAAGGTTGACTCAGCCTTCCGTCCTTCTGAGGTCATTAAAATGGGGACCCAGACTGTTGGGAGCAATATGCTGACTCTGTAAACCACTTAGAGAGGGCTGTAAAGCACTGTGAAGCGGTATATAACTCTAAGTGCTATTGCTGTCTGTACTATGGAAGACTGTTGGGGAGATATAGGTGTGGATCCTTTTTCCTTTTTGTAAATGTAATAAATAACTGTGGGAAAGGTTTCTTCACCAGCTGAGCTATGTGTGCAAATTCTTCTACACATGCCTGTAAAAACTCACTCAGCAAACTTTACAGATTGTATGATTAACATTCTTTTCTGTGAGCCTCTCATCTATGTTTGTGCTTTTAAAAACTAAACAGAACACATGAACCCCTGCTGAAGGCTGAGAAGCAATGGGTACACATTAGAAGCAGTGTTTCCTATGATGTTTGTTTCCCATAAAAGGACTTCTAGCAAAGGGCCTCTTATTGATCAGATGTTATCAGATTATATTCAGGTGTTGTCTGCTGGAAGTAATATCTTATTTTTATCAGATGGTCACTTATTTGAGTTCCCACTCAAATTACACACTATTGTTTATTGGAGATGTGATGAGATATTCCCCAATCAGAACTATAAAAATACCTCTGGCACAGTATCCGCTATTTGAAGTTATGACCAAGTCTCTGATAAGATATGCCACTGATAAAGTATGCCAAACCTTGAACTTCAGAGTAAATCTACAGCCCACAGCAAGAAGAAGTGTTTTACAACTACTGGTCAGCTCCAGAGGCATATCCGCTACTACTTTTGGAGTTTCCGGTATGCACATAAAATGTGAATAGATATATATTTTTCTCTAACTCTCTTAATACTTATCAAGAACCTGCTTGAGGGAATATCACCTTGGCCCAGTTTATAATCTTTAGAATTCCAATCAACCTGTTGTCTCCTGGCTGGCCTCCAGGTGGAAGTATGTAGTACTTTTTATTAGAGTCACTAATCGATACACTGATTTAATAAAATAATTAAACGGTTTAAACAAATAAATTAAAACAGTGTAACATAAGAACATAAGAAAGTCATTGAAGTAATCAGGGAATTTCTATTTTTAAAAAGATTATAAGAAAATGTATCCACGTTCAAGAATGCAAAATAGAATTGGTCTCATAAAAAGTAATTTCACATAAAATAAATCAGAATAGTCCACAAATTTTGCCAAGTAGAGCATTATAAAATAGAAGGCAAAACATAACAGGGCGTGAACTATGGCAGGGGTACCCAACTTCTTAGGACCCGGGCCCTGGCAGCAAATGAAGCTGCAGCTGTGCATGCATGGGAACTAGGTTGCACGTAAAACCACCACCCCTCATCCCCATCTGGTCTGTGGGGAAAAACTGTCATTTCCAGAAAATGGTCCCTGATGAGGGAAAAACTTGGGGACTGCTGAACTATGGATTCAAGGGATCCTTCTCCACAACAGCACAATCTTAAGTTTCTGAGGAAATATTGTATATTTGTCCTCAAGAACGTCTGTTGAGACAACACTGAAATGTGCTAATGTTAGTGCTTTTTGGAATTTTAGGGCAATTACTGGTATACTTAATGGTGACTTACAACAGCAATACAAGATGACTTACAACAGCAATGCAGGTAGTCCTTGATTTATGGCCACAAATGAGCCCAAAATTTATGTTATTGAGACATATGTTAAGTGAGTTTTGCCCCATTTTACGACCTTTCTTGCCACAGTCATTAAGTGAATCCCTGTAGTTGCTAACCCATTTGTTAAAGTGAATTTGGCATCCCCCTTGACTTTGTCAGAAGGTCGCAAAAGGTGATCAGATTACCTTGGGACACAGCAATAGTTATAAGTATGAACCAGTTGTCAAGCAACTGAAATATGATCACATGATCATGTGGAGGGTGTAAAGGTCATAAATGTGAAAAATGGTCATGTCACTTTTTTCATTGCCATTGTAACTTTGAATGGTCACTACCTATATTATAAAAATGCTTCCATAATATAAATTCTCTGAGCATATGTTTTTCTTTTGCGTAAATTTGGATGCTTAACCAACTAAGCAAAGTTAGAACTTTGGTTCTCAACCAGAGAGTTTTCATACTCAAGACTTCAGAAATTTCAGCACATGATTTGCAGTTTAACTTGACCCCAGTGAGAGTTCACAAGATGTCCCCCATCTGTGTGAATAACTATAAGACTACAGAAACATGGACCCCCTATTGGAGTTCACCCTTGGTTACCTGCTGTTTGAAAAACATCAGCCAGACATTATCCCTACATTCTCAAAGGATCAAGCAAAGGCCAGCCTATATGCACATTGAACTCATACATTCATCCCTCAATGATATTTCCTCCTGTACTTTTAAAAAAAAATAAACTTAATAATCCAAGTAATTGAGACTAAAATCACAAAACTATATTGACAGACACGAACACAGACAAACACACATTGATGCAAAAAAAAAAAAGGAAAGTATTACTAGTTTTGATTTTGCTCCAAAGTGAAAACATGGTTAGAATTAGCTTAACAAAGTACATCTTTCATTGCACTTTTAGAATTAAATTTCTCTCTCTTTTGAAATATATATTTCTTAATTCTAAAAAAGACATTTTAAAAAACACACAGGACATTTTAATCCATTTTTAGATCAGGCAACATAGTGACCAAGGGTATTTTGGCACTACAATTTGCTTTCTTTGCTCATATTCATTCCACAGCTACTTCCAGGCACAATTCCAGTGACATATCAACTGCCTAACAATAGCAAACTCCAAAGTTCTGCATAATTTTCCCCCAGTTATTTCATATTAAATAGAAGAAAGCCAAGTAACCCTGTAGCACATCATAAATCAAAGAAAGGCAGGCCAGTAGTATCTCTAGCTGTTCCTCCTTTTTCCAGTTCTTTTGAAATCCCACAGTTTAAATTGATAATTGCATTAGTAAGCAACATTTCTCCTGAAAAATGCCCCCTCACTTTAGGCTTTGTGCCATACAGTAAAATAAAAATGAAAAGCAGAAAGTCAAAAGTATACACTGCTTGTCTTCAGCTAAAGAACTCTTATATTTTACTCTTTAAGACAGAATTGGTACACATCAATTGCAATTTTAATGAATTAATTTTAATAATAATTGCAATTATAATTCATAAAATTTATAAAAATTTAATACATTAAAATTTGCAATTTATTATCAGCTTTAAATATTGGAGTAAAAAAACTTGAATGGGCATCCCATATGTCATTTATCACCTTAGTCTACATAATGGCTTATGTATATTTGTACAAAAAGATACAGAAATTGCAAGAGCATAGTGATCCGAGTCATAGAATTTAATTAGTAAAATTCAGAATAAACTGCCTGTGGCACCTCATCATTCATGAGAAACATTCTTCAATATAAATATTTACTGACACTAAACATATTCTGCGTTGATTAGTCCTTTTTATATTATTAAGCTTCTGTCAACTTGACGTTCGCAAAACACAAATTTGCATTTTTCCATGTAAACTTAATTGGTGTCCTATGTCTTGCCATAGATAAACAATTCAACATATTTAACTTGCTGAGAATTTTAATTGAGTTAAGTGAAATCGAAAGAACTTCATTCATGTAGATTTTAGTTGTAAAAGCATTCAGTTTTCAGAGCAACTTAAATAGTATAATGATAATTGAGGACTGCTACTTTGCAAGATTATCTTAGAAATGCATGT